TGACAATGTAGTTTTTCTCTCTGATTATAATGTACTCTGTGTAGTCAATACACTGGTACCATGTGAGTGTAATTTCCTCTTTTATTTTATCTCCAATGCACTGTATTATAAATAAACAGTTAAAAAAAACACCAAACAAATCTGTTGCATCTCCTTTTAAGATTGTACCACTGTAGACACTTGTTCTAGTAAAGTAGAATTGGGCACATTTGATTGCATTTAAATTTTTCATGCTTCAGCAGTTTGGCTGGGAGCACAGTAAAGAAAAATCCCATGAGCGAGGATAGTTTAGAATAATAGAACTTGATTTTGTGTATTATAGCGGCAACATTTGCGCTGCTTTAGTTAGGGTTGTGTCAGCACTTCCATTATAAACCCCTGTTTTCAGGGAGTATAACTAGGAAGATTTTTTTAAAAAATACAAATTAAAAAAACAATTCATTTGAATGATTTTTAAGTTATAATAGGGAAAAATAAAACAAAGTAAAGTCACATAAAATTGACCATTTTCACATGGATTTTGATAGTTAATTTTGCTTATTAGTTGCATATAGCAGCAGCTACAGTAAGGTACTGTGTGGATCAAAATTTTTTGTAATGGAAATCTACTGAAACAAACATTAAAAATAAGATGAAGCATTCTACATGTCATTTAAAAACAAGTGTACATTTAACTTACGCATTTGTAAAGGAGAGCAGCTTTGTTACAGTAGGTATATACTGTAAAACCTGAAAACCAAACCTATTGCCATGAGTTGCGCCCATCTCAGACCTGACCCTTCATCACATTACTGAGGGTATAAACGTCAAAGGGAGATGACTGCCCATCTTTCTTCCAAGAAAGCAGCTGTGAATTCGAACCACTTGCCCCTTGGTTACCAGTTCAACAAATAAGCCAATACCTCACCAGTGATCAGTTGTTGTTATGTACCATTGAGTTGTTTGCGACTCATAGCGACTCTATGCACAACAGCTCTGAACCCTGCTCTATCTTGAGACAATTTTACTGTCTCCAACACGCCTGTGCCCCATTACCCAACTCACTGAGTCAATCCATCTCATCTGGGATCTTCCTCTATTGCACTGCCCCTTCACCCTTCCAAGCATGATGTCCCTCTCGAAAAACTGGTCCCTCCTGGCAGGGAGTCCATAGTATGTCAGAGAGCTTCAGAATCTTTGCCTCTGATGAGCAGCATGACTTCACTCTCTCCTGGATAGACCTGTTAATTCTCTTAGTAGGCTGTTTTCTAGCATCACCAATCAATGGCATTGATTTTTCTTCTATCATCCTAGTCCAGCTCTCCGATGCATAGCAAGTAATTGCGAAGATTCTGGCCTAGATCAATTGCATCTTAGTCTCTAGACTGACATTATTACTCTTAAGTAATCTGGAGAGTACCAGATTTTCCCAATGAAACTTGTATTTTGATTTCCTGACTGCTGGTTGATGTTGATGGTGGAGTCAAGCAAGTTGAAGCTGTTAACAGTCTCAGTCTCTTCTCCATCTATCATGACTCTGCCAATTGGTGGTGAGAATCTTTAGGCTTTGCCAAAAATCACATGTTTTTGTGCTTTCTAGAATACAGTTTAGTTGAGATAGTAAAATCTTTAAAATAAAAAGCTAAATTAAAGAAATAAAATACTGATATAATCTGAAAATGTATGGATTTTAAAAATAAAAGTAAGCATGAAAAAAAAAAATCATAAATTCATCTAATCTAGTTGTGCTGCCAGCCCAAAGTCCCAGGATTTCAATCCACCAGTTGCTTTACAGGAGAAAGATAAGCAATCTCGTCCTGTGCAGTTTAAAACCTCTGAAACCCAGTTAAAGGGTCAGCTATGCATTGGCTCCAACTTGACAGTGCACAACAATACCAACAAAAGCCTGATAATAACATAAAAATCTATACTTATTTACTAAACTACACAGTAGTTTAGTTTTGAAAATGATTCATACACATTTTTTCTTTAAAAATCCCCATCACTACAACAACAAAGAACAAAACAATAAATCAGGAAAGCAAACCTGAAACATGAAATAATTTTATTAAAAGGAAATGACCTCAAAGGATTGAAACATTGCTGAAAATATAAAAAAAAAATCACCCTTTTGTCGTGTAACAATATATTTTGAGACTTACGTTAAAATGAAAGCAAGAAATTACATATAGTATAGAAAATATATTCCTGGAATAAAAAAAATATATTGATATTTTTGCTGAAGAGAGGAATTTTAGAGTTAAGTATGCCTTCCTTGGCTGTTAACCAGTTTTGTCCTACCTTTCATCTCTCTCCTCATGACCCGTAATGATGCTGTGGACTGAGAATGATAAGTCAGATTTAATATTGATTTATTTTTGCAGCCCTTCTTATTGGCAACATTAATACATATTTGTATTTGTAGATGCAAAACAAAAGATAAATTGTGTGATGCTATAAATAGATGGCTTTCCTGAATGGTCACTGGAGGCATCACCAGAGGACTGTTGATGAAGTAGAGGTGAAGCCTTTTCTCACTAATTGTATTCAGCGTGTAATTTCTAAACTTCCCTCTGAATTTTGATTTTCAATTAACACTCCCCATTTGAAGATAATTTTCTATTTAATGTAATTGCAGGAAATAATTTATTGGCTGATTAAGACTGAGGGCCCAGCCTTCCTTAAGAAAACACTCTAACAAACCAGCCTTTAAACTCGTAGATTTGGACAGATTTAGTCTATTTTCACAGCTGCACGTTTGTGTTTAATTAGGGTTGTGCACTATTGTTCATTGGTTCAGTTTATTATTGAAATTATTGAGTCTTTTCATTTTGGGTTTTGTGTCACGATTAATTTATACCAATGAAACAATCACGTATATTGCTACTGGGAGGAGCCAATTCACTTTGGAAAAAGAGGATGTCTGCTGGGGAGTTAAGAAAATGTTTCAGATTATAATTTTCAATTGTTTTTGCTATTTAAAAGTAGTAGTAACATGCTGTTACTTTTATGTAAATGACTTCATTATAATGTCTTTTATAATCTGAACTATAAAATATTTTTGTTTATGACAAACTCTTGATAAATCTGCAGAGTAGTGTTTTGGTTTTTCTTTTCTTTTCTTTTTGGTTATAATTTGCTTTATTTCACCATAGTATCTATCGAATCCGTAAAGTAAATTCTCCGGTGTTTCTCATGATTAAGAAATATCCTTGGGCATTATTTTTCCACAAATATGTACACCCACCTACACCCCTCCCCACACACACACCCATTTGTTGGATTTAATAGATATCAGTCAAGAATGTATTTAACCTAAGTCTTTGATATTAAACTCTTTAGAAATTTCTTTTTCGACAAAAATATAGGCATTTTTCCCATATGCCCTTCCCCCTATTTTATTTCTAGATAAAGCCTAATAGTTAAAATTTCCATTATTTGTAGAATGATTATTATAAATAGGTATCAGCATTTTAATATGTTACAAAGCACTTCAAAAGCCTGTAATACTTTTATTTAGAACTGTGCATAATTAGATTAACTGATCTTATATTAATTTTTTTCACTGTAGGATACTAAATCTGAGCCCCCTCATTAATTGTGAGAAATTTAGCATTAGCTGTTAAATCCTATGTGAAACATGGGCTGCTACATAAAAACTACTGTTTAAATTGGAATTAACTTAATTATTTTTCTTTGCACTTGATATTTCCTTCACTGCAATATTCATGAAAGCATGTGACAGATTTGTAAATTTAACTGTTAATCTCAGATTTCTAGACCCTTTAATCAGTATTTATTTGTCTGTAGAAACAGTACTAGCAAGTTAATGATTTGCTAATTTGAAAAATGCTCATGTGGTTTCCTATGTTAACTGATTTGTGCATTTTTAAAAAAAATGGTATGAAATCAATTAATGTTAAAGAGCAATTAAGGTGGAGATTTTATTCTTTTCGTTACACAGCAGTTTTAAGTTAAAGATACTATAAACAAAGAACTAAATCTATTTTTATAGTACTCAATTATTTTCTCTTTTGAGTTATACTCTTTATATAGTGATTTTATTTCTCCTGTATTACTAAGAAAATTATTTTGTTAAAGTGATATTCTATAAGTTTTGAAATTCTGTTCACTAGGCATGATTTTAGAGGAAAGTAGAGAATAAATTCCTTGTTGTGCTAAGTTTAACAATTTTTTATATCAATATAATAAAATAATATTTTCTAATTTTTTAGATTTTAAAATATTATTCAACATGCATATGTTACTATTCTCATAGTATATGCTTTTATTTTTGTGTCATTTTTAATATAAAGTAAACTCAATTCAATTGGTACAAAATTGCCTTTAGACTAATCTAATACTATCAACCTTTCAATCAATATACCATTTAAATCTTTACAGAAGTTAACATATTTTAAAAGTCAGCTTATCTGTAAGTAGTATTGGGATGAATATTTAGAAGTCAAGATGTTTTAAAGAAACTACAACCAGATTTACTTAGAACTTCTTTTAGAGATTATTTGTTATCCTGATTATATTTTTCTACATAGACTTTCTTAATTTTCAAAAGAATTTTGTCCCTACATAAACTGCAGGAGAAATTTGGATATTTTTATTTGCAACTCATTTGGGAGCCTATTCATTCCCTTTTATTGCCAACTAACTATTTTCCTAATTACCCTTAAGAAGTTTATAACTCAGTGGGGTAAGTGGGAAGAAAAGTCCACCCCTCCACACACACATACTTGCAAATTCATTATACATTATGAAAATAAATTCTAAAAATTTCACCTGTGGATTAGAAAGAGAAGGGGAAAACTCCACTAAGTTCTAGAAACAGGTTTGCAGAGTTAAAAGAGACAGGGCAGACAAACTGTTCTTGTTTAGTGGTTTAGAATAGATCGTAAGTATCTCTAGTTGTAGAACTTTTCTTTTTTTCCTGAATTATTTAGTTGCAAGAGCAGTTTAATTTTTAGTTTTAAACAGCTCATTTAATCCCTGATGTTTCTCTTCTGCAGAAGAATGTCTTCTAAGCAAGCCACCTCTCCATTTGCCTGTGCAGCTGATGGAGAGGAAGCGATGACCCAGGATTTGACCTCACGGGAAAAGGAAGAGAGCAATGATCAACATGTTGCCTCCCATCTGCCTCTGCACCCCATAATGCACAACAAACCTCATTCTGAGGAGCTACCAACACTTGTCACTACCATTCAACAAGATGCTGACTGGGACAGTGTTCTTTCATCTCAGCAAAGAATGGTGAGCTTTTACAATCTGGCCACTGTCATGAAGTGTGTGTCTGGTAGCATATCTTCATTACAGGTTGCTGTTTGTGGGAAGGTAGATAATACACAGGATGATTTCTTTTTGTGTCATGAAACAAACATCATGTGAAGATGATTATCATATTAGTACCTCAGAAAAGTGGATATTGTTTATGATTTAGGTCATATTATTAGGTCAACTTGTCGAAACTCTGGTGACAAGGTCATTAACTTGGTAAGATCACACAATATGTACAGTTGAATCAAATGTGGCTGTGTATCAACACAGAAAATTTGTATAAAGCATATGACCTCATGTTATGTGAATGAGGTCATATGGTGAATACAGCTTCAGTGAAGAAATGTAGGTATTTGTAATTTTTAATAATAATAATTGATTTACAATAAAGCTTTTCACATATATGTGTCTATATATAAACTTCAAAAAGGCCTGCAAAGTTCTAAGTTTCATTCAGTCAGGCTGCAGGGGTTACCTTTAGTAGAGATACTATCAAATTCATGCAGTGTATTAGCTTGCTTCCCTTCCCCTTTTAAATTTTTTTCTCTACTCATCAAAGCAGAAACTATAATAAGTGTCATCAACTACCTAGCTTAAAGAAAAATGTTATTTTTTTTAAGGTTCTGAAACTGACGGAAACCTTAATATATTTTATTTGATTTGGAATTGTATATCCTGTTTGCATTTCTTGATGAAGAGTATTTTAAATGTATAATAAAGGAAAGTTTTATTCCTTAACCAAAACCCAAAATGGTATTTTAAAATACCTTTGCTGTTATTAACATCTATTGAAGTCTTGCTCTATACTTAATGTCTTGGAGTCAATTTGAAGACTTGATTTAATAATTTTTGAAGACAGACATTTTTCTTTTTGGTAAAGTTTAGTGCTATAGAGCACTAATTGAGAAGTTGTTGAGTACTGGCAGTCAGACTCGACCCTTACCCTCCAGTGGGTTTTCAGAGGCAGTTTATTACATGGAAGGAGAGGGCCCATCTTTCTCTCTTGGGGCAACTGGCCTATTCCTACTGAATGTATTTGAGATTCTAGTTCAGGTTATTACCACTAGGGCACTGAGAAGTAGTGAATTGAAGAAACAGTAAGATTTTTTTTGAATTAATTTTAGGTTAGAAAGATATCAACATTGTACAATTAGCTAGATTCATCTGATGATATGTATTTCCCTTGTGTGGGAAAAAGCAGAAGATATAATAATACCAAACCAATGCGCCATTTTTTTTCTCAGTATCAGCCACAACTTGTTGTGATCCACACAATCAAATGCCTTTGCATAGTCAATAAAGAAAAATTAACATTCTTCTGATATTCTTTACATTTAGCTGGAATCCATCTGACATCAGCAATGATATCCCTGGTGCCATAGCCTCTTTTAAATCATGCTCGAATTTCTGAAAACACCCAAACTATGTACTAGCAGGTTTTTAAGGATATTCAGCAGTATTTTGCTTGCATGTGATATTATTGATATTGGATCATCTTTCTTGGGAATAGGAACAAATATAGACTTCTTCTAATCTGTTGGCCAAACAGCTGTCCTCCAAATTTCCTGGTTTAGGCTGGTGAGTGACTTAATTGAAGTAAGTCAATTGATATTCCATCAATTCCTGGGACTTTATTTTTTGCCAATGCCTTCAATGCAGCTTCCATTTCCTCCTTCATTACCATTGGCTCCTGCTCATATGACACATTCTGAAATTTTTCAGTGTCAGGGTTTGGGTTTGTTTTTTTGTTTGTTTGTTTTTGTACAGTGACTCTATTTCCTCCAGCTTCTTTTGATGCCTCCTGGGTAATTCAGTATATTGCCCATAGCATTTTTCAGTATTAGGACTCTAGGCTTAAAATTTTTTTCCAGTGTTCTCAGATTGAGAAATGCAAAGCGAGCTCTTCCCTTTTTATTCTCCAATTCTAGCTCTCTGCACATTCCATTATAATACTTTGTCTTCTCGAGCTGTTCTTTGATAGGTTCAGTTCAATTCTTTTACTTCAGCATGTTTTCCCTTTATTTTGGCTTTTTGATATGCTCTAGTGAAATTTTCAGTCTTTTTGATATCCATTTCTGTGGTGTTGTTTTTTCGTTCTCCTTTGTGTTTGTAATGACCTTTTGCTCTCTTTATGGATGATATTTTTTATATCATCCTACAGTTCATCTGGTCATTGATCATTGGTCTTCAGTGCTTCAAACCTGTTATTTTTTTTTCAATAAAATTTTTATTTTATACTGGTTTACTTAAAAAATTCATATACATTATTTTTCACACTGTATCTTAACCCTTTCCTTTATCCACCCCTCCCTCCACCCATCAATTAAGCCCACTCTATAATTAAGCCCCTCACACACAGCTTCACCCCTCTGATAACCCTTCTCCACCTTGGATCCTCCTACACTTTCTACAATAATGGTCTTATACAATATTTGTCCTTATGAGACCGAGTTATTTCACTTAGTATAATACTCTCCAGTCCCTCCCAAATTAGGTAGTAATTTATAAAATAATTGTTCCAAGAAATAAATGCTGGAGAGGATGTGGTGAGTAAGGAACTCTTACACACTGTTGATGGGATTATAAAATGGTCCAACCACTCTGGAAGGCAGTGTGACGTTTCCTCAAAAAGCTGGACATAGAAATTCCGTATGACCCAGCTATGCCACTGCTTGGTATATACCTGGAGAAAATGAGAACTGAGGCACAGAGAACACCAGTGTTCGTAACAGTTATTCACCATACGAAGAACAATGGAAAGGATTGAGAAACGTATTCTTAAAATGGTTTTGGACTCTCTAGTCACAGCCCTTCTTTTGTCTGCAGCTCCTTTTCACTCCCCCCATGCCCCCCCCCCCGACCCCCGGTCCTGTTCTGGAAGGAGAAAGG